GATATGTTTATGTAGAAAATCCTAAGGAATCCACAAAACTTACAACCAAGAAGTGAGTTCAATAATGTCACAAGATACAAGGTAAACATAAAAATCAGTTGTATTTCTGTATTCTAGCAATGAACATGTGAACACAAATTGCAAATACAGTAGCATTTGCAGTCACTCACATCTTAAGTGTAAATTAACAAAACTTGTTAAATTTGCATACTAAAAACTATAAAATGCTAATGAAAGAAATCAAAGAAGAGCTAAATAAATGGAGAGACATACCATGTCCATGGATTAGAAGACTCAGCATAGTAAAAACGTCAGTTCTCTTCAAATTTATATACAGGTTAACTCAATTCTTGTCAAAATCCCAATAAGATTTTTTGTAAATATAGATAAAATTATTCTAAAATTTATATGGAAAAGCAAAGGAACTAGAGTAGTTAAAACAGTTTTTTTTTTAAGTGGGAAGAATCAGTCTATTTGATTTTAAGACTTACTATGTATCTACAATAAAAAAAGACTATGTAGTGTTGATGGAAAGATAGACCGATATATCAGTGGGATAAAATAGAGAATCCAGATATAGATCCATACAAAAATTCCCAACTAATTTTTGACAAAGATGCAAAAGCAATTCAGTGGAGGAAAAGTAGCCTTGTCAACAAATCCTACTGGAATAACTGGACACCCATCCATAGACAAAAACCTGAACTTCAAGCTGAGTCTCATACGTTATGTAAAAAATTAACTCAGAATAGATCATGGACCTAAATGTAAAATATGCAACATGAAATTTTAGAAAAGAAACATAAGAAAATCAGGATCAAGGCCTAGGCAAAGAGTTTTTAGATTTTACACCAAAAGCACAATCTATAAAAGGAAAAATTGAAACTGGATTTCATCAAAATTAAAACGTTTTGCTCTTGAAAGACCCTGTTAAGAGGATGAAAAGATAAGCTAAAGAGTGGAGAAGATATTTGCAAACCACATCTCTAACAAAGGAATATTATCTAAAATGTGTAAAGATATCTCAAAACTCAGTATTAAAAAAAAGCATATAATTTACCTAGAACATGGGCAGAAGGTATGGGTAGGTGGTTCACCAAAGAAGATGTACAGATGGCACATAAGTACAAGAAAAGTTGTTTAACATCATTAGCCATTAAGGAACTGCAAATTAAGACCACAAGATATCACTACATACCTATCAGAATACCTAAAATTTTTTTAAAGTGACAATACCAAATGCTGTCAAATATGTGGAGAAACGGGATCACTCTGACATTGCTGGTAGGAATGTGAAATGGTACAGCCACTCTGAAAAACTGTTTGGCAGTTTCTGAAAAAATATGTTGCAACTGCCATATGACCTAACATTTTACATTCTTGGGCATTTATCCCATATAAATGAACTTATGTTCACACAGAAACCTATACATGTATGTATATAGCAGCTTTATTCATAATAGCCCCAAACTAGAAACAACCCAGATGTCCTTCATTGAGTGAATGGTTAAACAAACGATGTCTATCCATACTATGGAATTACTCTTAAGCAATAAAAGGAATGATAATTGCAACAATCTGGATGAATCTCCAGAGAATTATACTGAGTGAAAAAAAGCCAATCCCCAGAGGTTACATATTGTAACCTTTACGTAACATTCTTCTTGAAATGACAAAATTATTGAAATGGAGAACAGATTAGTGATTGCCAGGGGTTAATGAGGGAGGTGGTAGAGGGAGGGAAGTGGGTGTGGCTGTATATAAAAGGGCAATATGAGGGATCCTTGTGGTGGTGGAAATGTCAGTCTCCTGGTTGTAGTTTTACTAGATATTACTGTTGAGGGAAACTAGGTAAAGGGTACATGAGATCTCTTTGTATTATTTCTTAGTACTGCATGTGAATCTACAGTTCAAAATAAAAAGTTTAAAGAAAAAAAAAATGAGAGCATGTAAGATTAGCTTTCACCTACCCTTCCTTTCCTGCTGTTTTAGAGGAAGAGGTTGTGTAAGAAGTCCTTTTGTGCTCTCGATATTATTGTTTTCCATTCTCTCCAGCGAAATGTCTATTTCTAATTTCCTGGCAAGTTCTTTTGGTATACCATTTTGTAGAATTACCATGTTTTATGTCTGCCTTTCCCACTCAGTTGCATGACAGTACTGATCTTGTTTTTGTTCACTGCAGTATCCCAGCTGCTACCTGACATATATAGGCACACCAATAAAGAATTGTTAAATGAATGATAAATCCCTCTCCTTAACTTTATCATCCAGCTTCTTAAGAGTGGTCATTACTTTATGCCTTCTCTTTACCCCTCTTGTTACTGCCATAATTCATCCTCTTTAATTCTGAACCATTACACTAACTTTACAACTTCTAATCTTTTCCCCACTCCTCACTCCTCTTGTTTCCTCACTAAATCTGATCTTGTTATTGATCTGCTCAAAAGCCTTTCCCTTTTGCTAAAGAAATGTCTCCTTAGCACAGCGGTCCCCAACCTTTTTGGCACCAGGGGACTGGTTTCGTGGAGAAAAATTTTTCCACGGACCAGGGAGGGCGGGGTGGGGGGATGGTTCAGGGGTAATGCAAGCAAAGGAGGGGATGGTTCAGGGGGTAATGCCAGCGATGGGAAGCGGCAGATGAAGCTTCGCTTGCTCACCCGCCCCTCATCTCCTGCTGTGCGGCCCGGTTCCTAACAGGCGGCGGACTGGTACCGGTCCCGGTCCCGGTCTGCGGCCCGGGGTTGGGGACCCCTGCCTTAGCACACCAAGCTCTCCTCAACTGACCCCTGGCTACTCAGAGACACACATATACATACACTCCTGTGTCCAGCAACACTCAGTTTGGGTCCGTTGACCATGAATGCTTTTTCACTCATTGTTTCTGTTGCCTGCATTTTTTAATTTTAGAGCTTTAAAAGCTTGATTGCCATTTTACTATAAGCCACCATATGTTAGGTGAACAAGTTAAGTGAATTCTGATAAGCTAGTGGACGTTCTTCCTCCCAGCCTTCTTTTAAGGAAAGTAAAATAAGCTCCATTAAGAAAGATTGACTTCTCCTGTACTTGTACTCAGTTATGGCAAACATGAGGCATAGCAGTATCAGGAATATTTTTTAGTGTAAGTATTAGATATAAATTGCTGTACCTCAATTTCAAAAGTACCATACCAGCTAGTGTTTCAGATTGTGTTCCTCTCAGCTGGGTATCATATGTGTGTAGTGCTGGTTTCCCTTTTGTGAACCTTGTTTTCCATTTATGAAACTTAGTTGTGATTTTGTCCAAGAGTAATATATAGGATATTAATTTTTGTAAATTTATTTTGTGAGGCACCCAAACCCTGTCTTATCTCTGTTTCTTTTATCCCAGTCATTCTTGCTTTCTTCCATTATATGTTGTCTTGCTTCTCTATCACTTAAAGTTGTAATTTGAGGGTATAATTAAGATAGTTCACATTGGAAGACCACTTGATAAAGTTTAGTCTTGATCTTGCAGGGTATTTCTTAGAGAAGTCACCAAATATGATTCTGGTTTTCCTTTCTTTGTCCAGAAACTTAATCTTGCCTATCAGATTTAGAAAGACTACCCAAACCCACAGTGTACTGAAACTTAGGCCAAGATAGCACTTTACTTACAATGAGAATTATTAAGTGTGGCACAGACTGAATAGTCGCCGTTTCCTCTGACTTTTTTCCCTGTCAAGAATTCCATATGGGGCTTCCCTGGTGGTGCAGTGGTTGAGAGTCCGCCTGCTGATGCAGGGGACACGGGTTCGTGCCCTGGTCCGGGAAGATCCCACATGCCGCGGAGCAGCTAGGCCCGTGAGCCATGGCCACTGAGCCTGCGCGTCTGGAGCCTGTGCTCCTCAACGGGAGAGGCCCGCGTACCGAAAAAAAAAAAAAAAAAAAAAAAAGAATTCCATATGAAAAGCCAAATTGTAATCAAAACTTTTTTGTTGAGCATAGTTACAGACAGGAAATATAACAGTATTAAGATTTGAGAGAGAAATCTGCCTATGAAAGTCAGATGTAGAACCTCAAAGTAAAAATAAAATTGTAATTCTCTAAAATCTCCAAATTTAACTAAACTTATTCACTTTATAAAAATTTCATCTGAATGTTGGTTTGTGATTTCTTCCTTGATGTTATAGGATCATTTGGCTTCCTTTTTAAATATTCTGTTTGAGGGAGAGAAAAAGGGAAGGAGGGAGTGGGGAGAGGAAATGAGATTTTCTTCTGGTAGTTATTTTCCTTTCCAAGGATAACTTCAAATAATATATAATACATATCAGTGTTACATATAGCAAAATTCCTTTATAAAAATACTTTACCTGTACAAAAATTAAAAATATATATTTTCCTTAAATAGACTTAAGACATTCTGTAGAGCTGGGTTAGTAATGATCAGCATCCTTGTTGATGATGGCGTGATGGTGGCTGGTTCATGACTAGCTACCACACCCGGGAAGCTGCTCTCTGGCAACTGTTCTCTCTCCCTTCCCTTCCTCTTTTCCTCCCTTTCCTAGCCAAGCCACTGTCGGAAACTTTCAGTAGGCACTGTGACCCCATGACTTACTGTTTCTGATCTGACATTTGCCCTCTCTGTTAGTCATTTGAGTATGGCATAGGTGTGGTGGTGTGACTCTCAGATTGATACCAGACTTGAAAATTACGTAATTTGCAAAAAAAAAAAACTGGGCAGAGTAAAGAAGCAGAGATGGATTGTGGGGAGTGGAATTGGTCACAAAAATGGTATCCCTTTGGGAATAATTAAAGTGTCGGAGATAATTCATTGTAACATTTTGATTTGTATTTGTGATATTCATGCATATGAAATTTGAGCAAAGCAAATTGGAGTAAATTAAATTCTGATATTTTATGTTGGTCTCAGTCCATCTATAGCTGTATGAATAATACTGTCTAAGTGTTTTATCTGTTTTATGTGGAATGTTTTTCAGGTGTTATTTTCCTGGTTCTGAAATGTATCAATATGTTTTAATGCAGCTCTGAAAGATTGGTATTGCTGGCAGGTGGTAGTCTGGAGATCAGTGACGTCACCGAGGATGATGCTGGCACTTATTTTTGTATAGCTGATAATGGAAATGAGACAATTGAAGCTCAAGCAGAGCTTACAGTACAAGGTATGCAAATATTTCCTTTATAAATTTTAAAAATCCTGTGTACTTTATGGGTTTGTAATTGTTAAAAGTTAATGTGGAAGAGGCAATACACCATAATAGTTAAAAGTAAATGGGCTACTTGAGTTCAAATGCTGGGTCTTATACTTCCTAGCTATATAACTATAGGAAATTTACTTCTCTGAGCTTCATTTTTCTCATCTGTAAAGTGGAGATTTAATAAGAGTACTTACCTCATTGGAGTTGTTTTCAGGACTAGAAGAGTAATGCTTGTAAAACTCCCAGAATAGTGACTAGAATATGGTAAAAGCTCAAAGTTAGTTATTGTTGTTATTATCTGTAGTGTGGGGTAGGGAAGGGTGTGATCTATGGCATCTGGAAGGTTCAGTTCACTTTTATTTTCTCAAAAATGCTTTCTCTTTCTCTGACCCAGAACCACATATCCTAAGCATTGGTGTTCCCTCCTTTAGGGTGAATAGATCACCTAGGAAGGAGCGCAGTGTGGCTCTCAACATAACAACCTGTTTGATTTGATGATTTCTTTCTTTTCAACTAATGCTGACCATCGCAGCATCTCCCTTATAGGTTCTCTGATTTGGAAGTCAAAGAAAATGACCATGGCATGTACACATAATCTCCCCATCTCCCTTGTTTTTCCTCCATATGGAAGTGTACCCTCAGAGGAACATTTGCTCTCTCTCCTATGAATTGTCTGCAAATCTGTCTTTGTTTCAAATAAAAATCTTTAAGATCTTCTCTGTTACTTTTAGGGAAATCCAACACTGCTTGGATATGTAGAGGTATATATTAACTTACGATATTCATTATCAAGTTGTCTCAAAGTGTATTGTATTTGATAGAATACTTCCTGATACATGGTTTGGGGTGATCTCATATTTTATATGAAGGTTTCTTTCTCTTGGTACATTTTGTGGGTTTCAGAGTGGAAAGTAGTCACATTCCTACTCTGGTAGGAATTGGGGAGCACATTGGGGTTCTGTGCTGGCAGAGGCATAGAATGTTTATATTCTGTATTGCTATTTGTGGGTGGATTCATAATCTCTGCAAATCAAAAGAGCAGGCCTTAGAGCTCATATAACTGTTACCTCACTTGAGCTCAACCATTGCTCTGGCTAGATAGTAAGTAGGATTAGACCAGTGGTAGAATGACTGATTTCTTTACCTCTATGTAATTGGAACTGGACAAGTAAAATATTAGTGAACTTCCATGCCTCCCTTGGTGGATGTTTTCTCTTTTTGTTTTTTTCGTTAGTCAGGTTCTTGGCTTGATACTCTCTCCATTTTTCTACCTGTGCCTCAGTTTCCTCCAAAGTAAAGTACCTTGTTATTAGCCTCAAATGGGAGGCGTAGTATCTGCCATATGTATTAGTTACATTTGTCCATGCAATTAATTTCTGCTCTTTGTTTTTATTCATTGTATGGAATCTAATTAAGACTCTGTCTGTTAGCTTAATTAACTGCAGTTTTTAGTTACAGGATAACACATACATCTGGTACTTTGTATCCTGTTCCATCTTATCATCTGTGCCTTAAGAAAATGCCCTTTAAGTGAATACATTCTAGAAAGCTGAGAAAAGAATAAGAGTGAAGAAACCCAGATATTAAAATTAAATAACCTTCTCCAATCAAAACAGCATGGCATTGGCCCAAGAATAGACTAGACAATAGAAAGGAATAAAATCTAGCTGATACAAGTAATTATGGAACTTTAAAATATTATCAAAGTAGTACTTCAATTCAGAGGGGAAAAGTGTTTTATTTATTAAAGGGTATTGGTACAAAAGACTTTTAAGTGGAAGGAAATAAAGTTGGATCTCTACTTCATTTCAAAGGTCTAAATGTGAAAAGGTGAAGAATATATGGGATAGCGTGTGTATTATCTCTGATGGGAGAGACTATCTTAGGAAAAAGAGAAATGGCATGTCAAGCAAAAACCAACAAATTCTGACAACATACACATTTTTTTAAAAGTTATAGAAAAACCCTGTGCAGATGATATATTGGGAGAAAATATTTGCAACACATAACTGAGAAAGGGTCAGAATCATTAAAATAAAGAGACCTTTCAGAAAGAGATTTTTTAAAAAGAAATAACCTAAAGAAAGCTGATAAAGACTGCCAACAGGCAATTCACAGGAGTTTATTAGCTATTTGCATTTCTTCATCAGTAGATAGTCAATTTTACTAGCAGTCAGAAAAATACAAATTTAAAAGATACCATTTTCCCCACCATCATATTGGCAAAAATTTAAAAGATTTTGACCTTCAGAGAATGTGGTGTGGTGCTCAGTACTGAAAAGTATTACTGATACCATCTCATCAGTACAGAACAGAGCAAAAACATCACCTCCTTGGTACTAGATATTGTATTCTACAATACAATTTAAGGTTGAACTAGCTTTTTTGATAACCTTATTTTAGGGGGCAACCAAATTCATTCACTTACCAAGTCTTATCAATAGTCCACCAACTCTTTCTTTTCCTCCCCAACCTCAATTGGGGAGAATGTCTAAGAGAACTTCTATGTTAGGTCCTTCCATTTTTGCCTACTATTGAAATAGCAGCCTATCTGCTAACTTCTCTGTATCTAACATAGTTTCATATTGGCTTGAGGCTAATAGTTGTACATATGTGTTTTAGAGTGCCTGCCGTGATTTTGATTTTCATTAGATGACTGGGGAACTCTGGTGCTTAAAAATATCTCAAGGTCAAAAATCTTAGTGAGCAGACCAATAGAAGAGTTTTGGTTGTTTTTTTATTTCACCCAGAAGTTTACACCGAATGCTTTATAAGTCTATGGTGATGAAAAGTTAGAAAAAATAGCTAAAAGGTGTTTTCAAAGGTATGAAGCTAGAGATGGCATAAGATCTCTATCCATGAAAGAATTACTCTCTAAACTAGATGCCCCAGGTAGCTTTTTTGGTGGTAAGATGTTCTATTAAATATTAACTTTTCATTCATCTGCTTGCCTGAAATCTTTGAACTGGGTTGGGAGTGGTTGAAATTGAGCAAGACTTCTACACCTTTGATGAAGAAAGTAGTTTCTAGGCTGGTTTCCATTTTCTGTCAATCTAATTCTAGCTGTTGACTCCCTCACCCAAAATCAACTCCGAAGAAACTAGAGGAGTGAGAGGGAATTCTGGGGAGACTCAGGTGCCATGAACCTGTATGTGTTTATGGATGAGTGAAAGAAAGATGGTTTGTGGGGGTGGTGGCTGCAGCCTGGGACGAAGGACTGCCAGCGGTAACAGTGAGGAAGTAGATTGGAAGGAGGCTGTTAAATTTTATCTTCCTCGCTGGTGTTGCCTTGAGACTATCTTTTCACAGCAGAAATGAACAGGAATGGCCCAGGCTTCCATGTCCATTCAAAAGGTCTACTGGGGCCCTGATGGCATTAATGAAACTGGTATGGCCTGACTGCCCTTAGGGGATCACTTTTCTACTTTTTCCCCCACACTGCCTCCAAACTCCCAGATTGGTAGGTTTTAACCTAGGAAGACTCTGAGGCCGGTGCTATTTCTACCTAAGAATTTAAATATGAAACCTTGACCAGAGGAGTTACCTGTGGAATGCCCAGCAAATTGGAATAAAAAACAGTAGTTCTGAGGTCCTTAGGGCTCTTTGCTCCAGGGCTCATCCTCCTGCAGTTAGGGCCTGGTGACCATACATGTTCTCAGATAGAGTGGCTGGTACACCAGAAGAACATTAGCTTATAGCCAAACTACTCCCCTGAATTGTACAGCTGCTCTCAGAGAAAGACAACCAAGTGAATAACATATACCATCTGATGGAGAATTAGTGGAAAAATTGACCAAGAATTTAAAATAAGCATGATAAATACATTTAAAGAGATAAGAAGGATATTAGCAATATAATGCAAGAACTAGAAAATGTGAAAACAGAACCAAGTAGAAATATTAGGTATGAAAAATGTAGTGAGGATAAAGAACACGGTAGACTGAGTAATAGTCTAAGATATACAGCTGATGAACAAACTCCTGAGTTGGAAGATTACATTGAGAAACTCTCTAAGAACATAGCATTAAATGAGAGAATGCATAGAATAAAAGCCAAGGGGTGTGAAAGTTAGATGTAGAAGGGCTTGTATCCAGATAAATAGGAATCCTAGAGGAGATCTGAAATAAAAAGAGAGAAAGAAATATTTGAAGAAATAATTAAGATAAATTTCTCAGAATTAAAGATTAATGGAAGACCTAAGATTGAGAGGGCTTTTAATGACTGCTAAATACTGGAGAGGAGAAAACACTCACCATTAGACTCATTTACAGTGGCTGATAACATCAAAGTCAAAAAGAGCTTCTAAAAGCTCCCAGTGACAAAGAGCAGATCACCTATAAAGGGACAAGAATTAGACTGCACCTAGTGTTGATTTTGAGAGATGTGATTTCAAGAGGACAGTGGAGTAATTTTTTAAAGGTTTAAAGGAAAAGAACATTGAATCCACATAGCATTTATATATACCCAAAATGTGAGGCATAGTAAAAATTCTCATCATACAAGACCTAGGAAGGTTTGCTACACAAAAATATACACTGAAAGCACTTTTGGAATGAATACTCAAATAATAAGAGACACATTCAGGAAAGGCTGTAAGAGATATGGGAGTTTTAAAATGTAGCCCCCAAATTCTTTGAAGTCCTCCTAGTGAGTGCTGGAGTTTATTATACCCCTTGTCCTTGAATCTGAGTGGGCTTAGAGCTATTTGAATCAATAGAGATATCACATGACTTCTGAGACTTATAAAAAGCCATGTGGAGTCCTCTTGGTTCTCTTGAAGTTAGTGCTTTCCAGACACTTCCTCTTGGGATCTCCATCTCAGAACCTAGCTACCATGCTGTGTGAAGCCCAGACCACGAGGAAAGCCTACATTGTAGGTGCTCTAATAGACAGCTCCACCTGAGACCAACTTTCAGGTCATCTAACCAAGGAACCAGACTTGTGAATGAAAAAGTCTTCAGTTG